CCTTGTCCTGCCCCCCTCCCCCCCACCAGGTAACTGCCCCCGCCAGGTAACTGCCCCCCACCACTATACCCCTGGCTCTGCACCCCCCAGCTCGGTAACTGCCCCTCCCCTCCCCCACTACACCCCTTATCTTGTCCTGCCACTATACCCCTGTCATCCCCCCCGCTATACCCCTGTCCCCACGCACTAGGTAACTGCCCCTCCCCTGTCACTATATCCCTGTCCCCTCCCCCACTACACCCCTGATCCTGGCCCTACCCCCCTGCTAGGTAACTGTCCCTTCCCCCATTACATCCCTGGCCCTGCCCTCTGCCAATAAACTGCCCCCCCCCCGCTATGCCCTGCCCCCCCTCACCAGGCAATTACCCCCACTACACCCCTGGTCTTGGCCTCAGTCCTCTCCCCCACTACACCCCTGGTCCTAGCAGGTAACTGCCCCCTTTCTCTGCCACGACACCCTCTGCCCCCTCAGCCCTCCTCCCCTGGTGAGGTAACTGGCCCCCAGCCCTGCCAGGTAACAGCCCCATCCTTCTCTTGCTATAGCCCCCTGTCCTGCCATGCAATTGCCCCCTGCCCTGACAGGTGACTGTCCCCTCTTCATATCCTCACTGCTGTATTCTCATGACAAGTAACTACCCATTCTCTTCCCTGCTACACCCCCTGCCCTACCCCTCCCAAGTAACTGCTCCTATCCCCACAGTGTCACTCCATTCTCCTCCTGCCCCCAACAGGTAACTGTCCCTCTGCCTCCCCTCCCTCTGCATGTTTGCCTGCCCTTTGCATACCTACTGCTCTTGTGTGCCCCCTGGCAGGTAATTGCTTATCCACTCCCTTAAATAACTGCTTCCCTCCCTGGCTGTGCCCCACCTCCCAGCCCAATGCCTTCCCTGTTCTCCCCACTTTCTTCTCCATCCCTATCTGGTAACTTTCCTCTCTTCCCTTGCCCTGACATATCTCCCATAGACACCTGCACAGCTTCCTCTCCCTTGACAGGTGATGTGCTGCTCTCCCTCCTCCTGACTCCCAGCCCAGTGACTGTCCCCTCCCTTGTTCCTCCCAGGTGTCTAGGGCTATTCCGTAGAGACACCCATCTCTGGACAGTTGGGTTTGAAGACCTAGTACAAGTCTGAGTTTGTTTAAAAACAAAACAAAGATCCTCCACTAACACTGCCCCAATCAAGCTGATCCCTCTGAGATGTCACATGCAGGATTTTAGGAGCAGAGCCCTGGGACACGACCTGAACCCGATGGGACCCAACTGCAAGTGTTGGGGTCGGGTCAGGTGGGAAAAGAACAAGATCGGTTTGGGTTAGATTCGCTTTCTTCCTCCTCCCCATAGGGTCAGTGTGATGGCAGCTCCATGCACCGGTGGCAGCCTTTCTGTTGTCCACCATCCCCAGCTGCACTACGTGTGTTGCAGATTAAGTGGGCCAAGGAGTGGCAGGGCCTTTCACTCTGCAGTGCACACATAGCAGGCAGTGGTGGATGGGGAATTGGGCATGCAGCCACCTGCACATAAAACTGCCCTGCTGACCCCATGGGCAAGAGGGGGTGATGGCAGCTGTGGCGTTGGCTCACCTTTGGTAGGAAGGGTCAAGGTAGGGTCAAAAAACTACTCGACCCTCTCTGGTTTGGGTTGGGCCTAAAAATTAGGCCCGAGCAGATTTCTAGAGGTTATTTTACTTCTGTGTTCGGCACTGATGAGACTGCTGCTGGAATCCTGTGTCTAAGTTCTGATGTCCACCATTCAAGAAGGATGTTGATCAGTTAGAGAGAATTCCAAGAAGAGCCCCAACATGATTAAATGATTGGGAAACATGCCTCGTAGTGGCGGGCTCAAGGAGCTCCATCTAGTTAACTTTCTCTTTAAACTAAGACGTGGTTAGATCTCTGTAAGTACCTGCTTGGGGGACAAATATTGATAATGGGCTCTACAGTCTATCGGACAAAGGTATATCAAGAGCCAAGGGCTGGAAGGTGAAGCTAGACAAATTCAGCTAGGAAATGAGGCATACATTTTTAACAGTGAGAGTAATTGACCATTGAAGCAATTTACCGCTGGTTGTGGTGGATTCTCAGTCACTGGCAACTTTTAAACCAAGACTGGATGTTTTCTTAAGATATGAGTTCTAGCTCAAAAGGAATTACTTTGAGGGAGTTCTGTGGCCTGTGTTATGCAGGAGATCGGACCAGATGGGCACGATGGTTCCTCCTGGCCTTGGAATTGATAAACTGTGCCTGGGGGTTGCCAGGCCTTTGTTGCTCCTGCTGTTGGACCCCTTCCTCTGCCAGGCCAATGAGCCACTTGCACCTACGGGTTGTTGTGCTTCTTATTCTCCCCTCTCACCCCAAGAGGGTGATTATGCCAGTTCAGAGATGAGTGGCCATGGAAGGGTACAATTTAGAGTAAGTTTGCAGTATTGCTGCCCATGCTGTATCTGTGTGGGTTAGCTTCATTCTGGGCACATCTCCCCAGTGGCAGAAAGCTAAGAACCCCTCCATGTTGTGAGCTGGTGCTGCCAAATCCCTAGCTGTTTTCCCACCTGCCTCAATCCCATTCTAACCAGCCTCTTTCGCTGATGGCCCAGATAGGTGAAGTGTTAGATAGCAGCTCTGTCCCCTTCTCTCTTTCCCCTTGTCCCTAGGGGTTGACTGCTGCTGACAGCACCTCGTGCTGTGTTTCTGCCCCCCGCTAGCTTATTTCCCCTACCTTTCAAAGTCTCGTAAAAAGGGAATCTTATCAAGGAGCAATGACCTTGTGGTAGGCATGGGGGAAAGAGGTGGGTGGAGCTAGTGCGTTGGTGAGTACTGTACCAGTTTGTGTTGGGTGGGTGAAAATAGTTTGTGTGAGGGGGAAGGTCGTGAAAGTTTTTCCTTGAGATAAATCATATTTCTGAAAGGACCACGGAGAGGAAGAAATCAAAAAATGACTGTGTGTGTGTGTGGCCTTGGATTTACAGTCTGAGAACCCTGAATTATGTCCAAAAGGTTTGGGATTAGATCCCTCATTTAATGACAACCTCTGTGGTTTCCGAGTGGACTCCTATTCACTTGGCATTGGCAGAACTTTTTTGAAGAGTCACTGATACCAGATTTTAACTTTGAAATACAAAAACTGTCAAGCTCACAGGAAACTTTTGTATAAGAGTGGTGTGGGTGATTTTGGGGGAGTAAAGCTAGTTAGTGGGTTAAACTAAATCTGCTGTTTATACAAAAATCTAGTAGGACTCAGATTAAAAAACAGATCAAGGCCTACAGCTATCTGCATTTTGACTGTAGTGACTTTCTGCTGTTGGGAACAGTTGGAGTTGACCAAGAAGGCACAGAGTGTTGGGTGAACTAGTCTGGTAAATCTTGTAACTCTTTTGTGGAGTGCTTTGGGAGTGTCTTTCCAGGAAACTGCTGCTGTCTGTGCTCCTGAAGTATTGTAACTCCGCAAACATTAACTGACAGGCTGGTGAGGCCAAAGCCTCTAGGATTCTGCAGATCATTAACTTTGGGCTGCAAACTTTAAGAGATCAAACATTGCAAAGTGTCAGCTGCCTTTTTAGACCTTGTCTGTTGTGGAGCATCACTTGCGCAGGATTGTTCTGTTATGAATTATGAAAAAGTGCTACAGAGGATGGGGAAGTTGGGGTGCAGGTGGGGAAGAGTGTAAGGATAAAATCCCATCTGCAGTATTTCCAGACTTTGTGGAACGGTGAGCAGCAGGTAATTAAAGGAAAAATCTGTTCTGGATTAACTGAGTTGATCATAAGGACAACTGCATGAGGTTTGTATGGGAAAGATGTTCCAATGTGGCTTAATACCCTGGCTTGTTTCTATTGCTTTAGTTTTTTAGTAGTACAAGAGTTCAATGTTGCATGTACCCAGAGTGAAGTTACCCCCAGCACAGATATTGCATTGGTAGTAATAGTATAAGTTTACCCTAGAATGTGGCACAATGGTAGGGAGCAATCCTCTCTTCCCAAGAGATGCCAATGCCTGCTCGGGGGCAATAGGTTACAAATGCATTTGCCCCTTTGTCTCTCTGAGACTACCAACAGGGAGGGGAGATTCTGATGATGATTTTGTGACATGGATACTCTACTAGGAACAGATCTGGAACACACCCACTTGTTTTGCACACACCATAGAAAAGCCAAAGGTGACTAATTCTCCATTGTCACTGGTTTGAATCCAGCCCAGGTCCTGAAGGTGAGAAGGCTCTGTCTCACTACTAATCCCTTGACATACCCAGTTTTTCTACCTCATAGCAGAAAAAATGTCTTCTTTTAGAGGAGAGAGGTCAGGAAAACAGAGGAGATCAGACTTTCTGATCTGTCTCTGACAGAGATGCTAATATTGAACTGAACCTTAAGGTAACAAAATAATTCAGTTAGTGCTTTCTCTCTCGGTGGAGGATGCTATATGGAGTGTAGGGAAAGAAACAAAGTGAACGAAGAGATGGGGATGAAAAAGGATTCCTAGTAAAGGAAAGAAAATGGTAGAAACTAGTTGGAGTCACAGGTGGGGTGAAGAAAAATGTGGTTGTATTAAGCCAAGCCTTGTAAAAGTAGGTCCGATGCACCTTATAGTTCTGTATGTTAGCTGGCTTCCAAGGCATGGCCCACGGTTCTTCCATAAGGTATTGGGTCCCACTGTAGTTCCTGGAGCACCTTGGTTTTTCCTGCAAAGTCTCTGTCCCATCTGAGTTTTTTTAGCCTGATCTGGGACATAGCTTGAGATGCTGTAGCTGCAGACTGCGGTGGGGCATTATTATGCTGGGGACATTCAAGAAACTCCGACAAAATACTCCCAGCTATATGGTACAGAACTATATATAAAATAAACAAAATTAAACCAGCTTGCTCTTAAACAGATTCCAGCCGGGGTGTCGCAAAACATGCTTTTTTATGAGCCACATGGGCCGAGAGACCCGCTGCTAGAGAAACATACATTGACTGATACATTCTGTTGGGGGTAACGAATGTGCATGCCCTTTTGTGGGACATCCAGTAACCATTTGGCCAAGAATAATTAGAAGCCCTTAGATGTACTTCCCAGGAGATCCATAAGGTTTAAAAGCCTTAATCTAAACTTTATTTTGGGATCTGTTTCTAAATTAATCAGGGACTATTATCTTTAAATCTTAAGAGTAAGGTAGCATGGCTTGCAGACTGGCACTCTGGTTTATTAATAATGAGCACTTCATTATCTGCAAAGCACTTTAAACACTAACTAGCCCATGCAACACTCTTGTGGGTTAGGTAAGTATCAAACATATGGCGAAAGTGAGGCAGAGGTTGTGATTTGCGGATGATGTCAAATTGGGGGTTGTGGGGTTTCTTTTACTGAAGGAGAGGCTCAGAATTCAAAACTACCTTGACAAATTGGAGAACTGGTCTGAAATCAACAACATGAAATGTAATAAAGACAAGTGCAAAGTACTATGCTTAGGAAGGAAAAAATCAAATACACAATTACAAAATGGGCAATAGCCGGCAAGGCAGTAGTAGTGCTGTAAAGGATCTGGGGGCTATAGTGGATCACAGATCGAATGACTCAACAATGATGCAGTTGCGGAAAAGGCTAATGTTCTGGGGTGTATTAAAAGGAGTGTTGTATGTAAGACATGGTGGGTAATTGTCCTGCTCTATTGACACTGGTGAGGGCTCAACTGGAATATTTTGTCCAGTTCTGAGCGCTGCCACCCTTTAAGAAAGATGTGGATAAATTGGAGGGAGTCCAGAAGAGATCAACAAAAATGATAAAAGGTTTAGAGAACCTGACCTATGAAGAAAGGTTAAAAAAAAAACTAAGGCATGTTTAGTCTTGAGAAAAAATTGGGGAAGGGGGAACCTGATAAGTCTTCAAATATATTAAGGGCTGTTACAAAGAGGATGATGGTCAATTGTTCTCCATATCCACTGAAGGTAGGACAGGAAGTATTCGGCTTAATCTGTAGCAAGGAAAATTTAGGTAAGATGTTAAGAAAAACTTTCAAACTATAATGGTAGTTAAGCTCTGGAGTAGGCTTCCAAGGGAGGTTGTGGAATCCCCACGGTTTTTAAGAACAGGTAAACAAACACCTTTGAGAGATGATCTAGGTGTCCTTGGTCCTGCCTCAGTACAGTACCGGGGGCTGGACTAGATGACCCCTTGAGGTCTCTTCCAGTCCTAACTTTCTTTGACTTTCCCAGGACTACAAACCATGCCTGATTTAGGATTAGAAATTGGGAGTTCCTGGTTCCCAGTCCCCTTCTCAAATCAATAGGTGATCATTCAGGGCCTGCAGTCCAACTGGATAGATGTTAAGTTTAAAATAAGTTCGCTTGAAGGATTTAGGATCTTGCAGGCTTGGTTCATTGCTCAACAGGTCTTCAGAAGGGGTAGATGAAGAAAGCAAAAAGCAATTTTTCAAACTTTATCTCCAAACCACCACCACTTCCAAGACCCACAGACTTACAAAATTCTTCCAGACCAGTGTTTAAAATCTTATAAAATTCAGAATCAAGACCAAATTCTTACTAGGCAAAAGTAAACTGCTTATTCTCATGCTTTCCAGCTTGACCATTTTGTCCCAAGCCACTCCCCTCTTGCTCTTGTATCAGCCAAATGCCCTTTCCGGGATAAGGGGCATGGGCGGGGGTATTTAATAGAACTGCAAATTGTTCCGTTATAGACTTGTGCAGTGGTTATAGTGACTTTAAGTTGGGACAGTCCTTAGCAAAGACACGTATCTTGTTGTAAAAGTAACTTACCAGTTTCCCTTTTTTTTTTTTTTTTAACGTTTTAGTACTGATGATACACAGGATTGGCAGACCTGAAGGCAGAAATTCTTCATATCGCTGCAGAACAGGTACAGCATGGGAAGCAGTGGGGCTTTTATGTGCCCTGTCCCACTAATATTCCTAAATCATGCCCTGGAATGACCACCAGTACAGGCAAAAGTGTAGCTGAGCCCTGTTGGCTGCTCTGAGAATCCTAACAAAAGGCTTCATTGGCGGTTATGTGGATGCTTGTCCACTGAAAGCAAAACTATGACATCCCAAACGAGCTACCGAACAGCTGGCCAGCTGAGCATAACACCGTTCTGGTTACAGCAAAACTGAGCTGAGTTTGAATGGTCAAATGAGTTGAGAAGCTCCATATCTTATTACTCAATCCCGAAAGCTGGCCACTCTCACAAAAATAGCGTACAACTGGCTTGTCTCTGTGCTCCTTCAGCGAACTGGTAGTTCAGAATGTTCAAAATTGTGGGAGGGTGGGGGGAAGATTTACTCAGAAATGGAACTTTCTAAGAGACTGTAAATGCCTTTCTTGGACCACTGTTAGCAAGCTGCAGAATTTGGGAAGTCCCCTACTCTTGGCTAAATGCCAGTTTGTGTTGGTCTATGTGGAGAAGGAGGGAAATCTGCATTTTTATGAATATTTTTGTGTACTTCGGCTTACCTGCTTGGCATTCCGACTGACCACACAGAGTGAAGGGGTTATTAGAACAAGCAGGAAACAATACAATGACTAGAGATAAGAGAGAGATTCCCAAGGCTGGAGCCAGCACTGGGCATGGAGACGTTTATACTGACCCACAGGCTGGGTGGCCCACTAAAGTGAGTCAGGGGGTGGAGGTGGCGCTTCCTCTCTGAGCCCCACCGAACATTCCTCCACGCCCCCCATGGAGGGTATGCCTCACAGTTTGAAAACTGTTGATGTAATATGACCTCCTGTGTAACACAGGCCGTAGAACTTCCCCAAAATAATTCCTAGAGCAGATCTTTTAGAAAAACATCCAGTCTTGATTTTAAAATGGTCCGTGATGGAGAATCCACTATGACCCTTGTTAAGTTGTTCCAGTTCTTAATTTTAATTAATTAAAAATGTATGCCTTCTTTCCAGTCTGAATCACTTCACCTTCCAGACATTGGGCTGTATTATACCTCTCTCTGCTATCCCCTCGGGGGGGGGGGGAGGGGAGGGGAGAAATGCTTCAAGGATCCTTTAGAGAACTATGGGTGGGCTATTAATTTGGAAGTGCTTACATGCCTGACTCCAGCCAGGTAACAGGCTTATTTTTCCAGGTCTGGGGTCTTAAGATCAGAAGGACATGAAACCGTTAAAAATCCCTGTCTAGAGAGGAAAAGGGAAGTGCGGGGAGTGATCAGTAGCTGCTTAGGGGGAAACAGGGATCAGTCCTGGGTCCAGGTCTGTTTAATATCTTAATCAATTATTTAGATTATAAGTGTACTCTCTATACCATTAAGTTTGTGGGTGATACCAAGCTGGGAGGGGTGACAAGTGCTTTTGAGGATAGGATTAAAATTCAAAATGGTCTGAAGTAAATAGGATGAAATTCAATAAAGACAAATGCAAAGTACTCCACTTAGGAAGGAACAATTAATTGCACACATACAAAATGGGAAATGACTGCCTAGGAAAGAATACTGCAGAAAGGGGTCCGGGGGATATAGCAGATTCCAAGCTAAATTAGTCAACAGTGTAACACTGCAAAAAAAAGTGAACATCATTCTGGGATGGATTAGCAGGAGTCTTGTAAGCAAGACACTAGAAGTAATTCTTCCACTTTACTCTGTGCTAATAAGGCCTCTCCTGAAATGTGGTGTCCAAGACTGGACACAATAGTCCAGTTAAGATTGACAAATTGGAGAAAGTCCAGAGGAGAGCAACAAAAATGATTAAAGGTCTAAAAAAATTGAAAAACATTGGGTTTGTTTTGTCTGGCGAAAAAGACTGAGGGGACACAAGTTTTCAAAAAAGGTTGTTACAAGGAGGAGGGAGAAAAATTGTTCTCTTTAACCTCTCAGGATAAGACAAGAAGCAATGGACTTTTAAATTGCAGCAAGGGCAATTCAGATTGGACATTAGGAAAAACTTTCTGTCAGAGTGGTTAAACACTGGAATAAATTGCCTAGTGAGGCTGTGGAATCTCCATTAGTGGAGATTTTTAAGAGCAGGTTAGACAAACACCTGTCAGGGATGGTCTAGATAATACAGGGGACTGGACTAGAAGACCTTGCGAGGTCTCTTCCAGTCAAACACTTCTGATTCTATGAAAGCCTTACATGGGGAGAGACTGAGAGGCAGAGAATGCAACAGGGGCAGTCGGTCTGAGACAGAGGCCCTGCGGCATTTCTGAGGCAGGCAGGCTCGCCTATGTTTTTGAAGAAGTGATAAGATTTAGGCAAGACCCAGGTGTGTAGACCTCTTGGGATTCTAACCCTTTTATCTACGTGCTATGTACCTTGGGGTGAATGGACCATATGTTTGTTTAGAAAAAAGTGCTTCAAAACCACTCTATCTACCACTGGTCACAGGTTCATGGAGGTCAGTGTCTTGTAGATGCCAAATCCAGTTGGGTCTGTCATGTTACTGCTGTTGGAAATGAGATCTGATGCCCCGGGAAGAGTTGTAGAACCATGGGGCTCTCACCAGAGGCAGGGGAAGGTAATTAGTGAAGGGGTGCACTCGTGAGGGACTGCAAAGGGGTACAGAGTACTGACCGTACACTGGGAATGGGGGTTTTGTAGCATGGCAAGGCAGTGTAAAGTTGAGTAAACCATGGAGATTGACTCTGGAAGAAGTGCAGGTAGAGACCCGTTGCTTGGAAAGATTGCCTGCGGAGGTACTGTGGGAAAGATCACAGATAAAGCTTACTGCTTAAAAGTCAGTCTGTCAAAACTTGAAGCTCCCTTCCCCGAGAAGTCAGTAGAAATTCTCTTATCTTCACTCCAAGCCTAGCAGAAAAGTGACTGACTGGAAACAGTCTTTACTGGTTTCTCTGACAAAGTAGCTTGTTTTGCACATTGATGTTTTTCACCCAGGACTGGCCTTGGGCACAAGTAATGGTTTGGTGCCCTGTGCTTCTGGGGGCCCTGCAGTTCTGTGTCTGCCTCTGAGTTGCTGAGTCAGGCTGATCTCCCTTGCCCAGTGTTGGGCATAGAAGGGGAGGTAGGAGCCAACTCCTCATCTCCATTCCACACAAAGTATCTGGAATAGAGTGTGACAATCTTATTTGTTGCCACTGGGTTTGCTGCTGGGCTAACCATAGAAGATGATGTTTTATTCCCTTATGGAATTTATCAATATTGTTGATAAACTGGCCTGGATAACCAGAGGTTGGTTAGTTAATCTGATATTTCTAACCTTGAGGTAAGATGATTAAACTATTGATGACTTGTATGCATTCACAATGCTGCCTTTTAACACTGAGTCTGGGAGGTGGGATTAATATGGGTAATGTTAAGATCACTTAAAAATGTAAGGTCTCTAAATGGGCATACACACCAGCTTTCTGATATCACTTCATGTGTAAACAAAATCTGGATTGAGTGTGCATGTGTAGTGGCAAATTGACTGCCTCGGCCTAGGCTCAGCAAAGGCCCAGTAGCACTGGCCATACCGAGATACAGTACAGACATGTTGTCCAAACGCCCCTCTTCTCATCCTGATCTGCAGCACCTTCTGCTTTCAAGCCCTGAACTTTTGATGTGCAGAATTTACTAAATTTTGTTTTAAGATGTGTGCAAAGAGGTAAGAATAAGACAATAACCTTCATTGTCTCTCCTGATCTATTCTAGGAATTGGTCCCAGGCTTCTGGGGTGACAGGCTATCCCACCTTGTTTCTTCTTCTCTCCACAACCCCACTCAACAAGACCTATTTATTTGATCAACGACTCCTACACTCTGCTAAAAAAGTTCACGTTTAGGAGTTCTAACATTCCCTGTTATGCCTGAATTTCAATTTCTGCTTAGCATTTCCTGATTCTTACAGGTTTAAATAAGATCCTTAATGTTGCCATTATTTGGAGTTGTATACGGTGAGCAAGCTAGATTAGTACTCATGAACTCTCGTTAAAGAGAATGTCACCTTTAGTTCTGGTACCCTGTAACACAGAATGTATATTAAAACCTGAACTTTCAAAGCTGGGTTTAGAAATATTGAAACAGTGACAAGTACAGCATCCTTAGTAATTGAATGAGGTTACCCTCACTGGGAGCTGATGTTTTATTTATACTCCATCAGCTGAACCTCCTGTTGGGAACAGGATTGAGACACAAGAATGTATTTCACATTCCTATGCTGAGACTCAAATTTCAAAGCCTTTAGGCAAGTTGTTAATTTACTCCCTGAAAATTAACCACCTTTATTATCTTGTTTAGTTTGTTCAAAACAGATCCCTTCTTGCATTCAAAAAGTCACCATTGGACTGTCAAGGTGGCAGTGATGTCTGATCACTAATTAGCCTTTATCATATCGAAGGAACACTTAGGCTCTTCTAGTAATTTATTGTTGTTCATAATCAAATGTAGTGATAATCGGTTGCATTCTGTTGCAATTTGTTTTCCTTTTAAAATGGAGCCTCCTGGCTAGAAGCAAAAGCCTAGAAAGCATACATATGAAAGAGCTTGTACACACTATCACTTATGTCTGTATAATGTCGCTCAGGGGTGTGAATAAGCCACCTCCCGAGTGATGTAAATTACACAGCTTTTCCTGCCGACATAGCTACTGCCTCTCACAGAGGTGGTTTTATTATGCCGATGGAAGAGCTCCCTCCTGTCAGCATGGAGCATCTTCACCAGATGCACTGCATCGGGGCAGCTGTGCTGCTGTAGCGCTTCTAGTGTAGACTAGCCCCAAAAGTCTAAGTACTCTTATTACGCTGATTGGTTTGGGGCCGGGGGACCCAAGATTTGCATCGTTGACAGCCTCAGTACTTTCAAGGTCTCTGCTGCTGACAGGGCTTCTCTAGAAACAATTGTTCTGTCCTCTTATTGTCAGCCATCTCCCTTCTGAGTTGCTGCTTCTCATTCCTGAGCTACGTGGAGGCTCACCAGTTCTTTTTGTGAAGGGAGCTCAGCGCTGCCATTAGCCGGAGACACACTTAATTAGCCATGTGTCTAAATGACCTGTTAAGTCTTTCTTTCTCTGTTTGTAGGTAATTAAATGTCTCTACTGTGGATCTCCGCTTTGTTGGAATGCTTGGATGCACTGCAGCGCCTCCTATAGCTTTCTTTTGTCGGCCTCACTGTGAGAAGATGGCAAAAGTAAACATTACTCGAGACCTCATCCACAGGCAGATCAAGGTATGTGTCCTCCAAGACTCTTATTTGTGGTTGGTTGGATGGGTAAGGAGAGCGTCATGTTCATGCTGGAGCAGTTTCTGTGGGAATAGTCTTCACAGAACTAATATCTGCCATACCCCCCCATCTTGCTGTGATTTTTTTTGTTAGCTCTCGGAATTCACACTTGGCTAGGAAACTTTGCTGCAGGAAGTTGTGCTGTGGATTAGGTAGGAGGGCACTTTCCTTCAGAGCAGATACTGAACTAGTCCCCAAGCATAGTGTTGGGGATACTGTACTGATGGAGTTACCATCTTGGATGAAACGCAAGAGGTTCTGGTGACTTGTGATCAATTAAAATCCCTTTAGTAGATTAGAGGTGTTAACCTCTGAGTTCTGGCCAAGTTTCAGCTGTGACAATTCTATTCTTTAACTTCCTGAGCAGTTTCCTTTGAACACGTAAACTTTTTTCTTTCCTAAACTGTTGTGTAGTGCTGGTATTGGTATTTCTAAGGCACTCGTGACCGTTGTCTTGGAGTTGTAGGATGGTATTTAAATAGTTTGTGTCTTAAATTTATAAATGTTTGCGAGTGAATGGGATGAAACATGCAAGATTATAATAATGCCAGCACTGCCTCCTTGCTAGGTACTGAGCAGGAGGGCAGAACATCCAATGCTCTGACTTAATGGCCCTGTGCCCACAGTGAGGAATGCAGTGGAACCTGATTGTTGGTGCCATATTGTAGGCCACTAAAGCAGTGGTTTTCAAACTTTTTTTTTTCTGGCGACCCAGTTGAAGAAAATTGTTGATGCTCATGACCCAGTGGAGCTGGGGATGAGGGCTTTGGGGGTGTGGGAGGGGCTCAGGGTTGGGATGTGGGGATGAGGGCTGTGGGGTGGAGCCAGGGATGAGGGGTTTGGGGTGCAGGAGGGGGCTCTGGGTTTGGGCGGGCAAGGGATTGGGGCATGGGGTTGGGGTGCAGGCTTACCTCAGGCATAGGTGCCAACTCTGTGGGTGCTCTGGGGCTGGAGTACCCACAGGGAAAAATTGCACCCACCGGCAGCTCCCTGACCTGCCCAAGCTCACCTCCGCCTCCACTCCACCTCCTCCCCTGAGCATCCTGCTTCTCCCCCCTCCCTCCCAGCGCTTGCAAAACAGCTGTTTAGTGGCGCACAAGCCTGGGAGGGAGGGGGGAGGAGGAGGAATGCGGAGTGCTTGGGGAAGAGGCTGGGCCAGGGTGGAGATTTGTGGAGGGATCCAATGGGGCAGGGAGGGGGCGGAGTCAGGGTGGGGCCAGGGGCAGAGGGCGTGAGCAGTCAGTGGCACAGCAGGGGTGCTAAGGCAGGCTTCCTGCCTGTCCTGGCACTGCAGGCCACGCTGCACCCTGGAAGCGGCTAGTAGCAGGTCCAGCTCCTAAGCGGAGACATGCAAGCGCCTCCATGTGGTTCTTGCCTGTAGGTATCGCTGCGCCCTCCTCCCCCCCGAAGTCCCATTGGCCGGTTCCCACAGAGCTAATGTTTGGGGGTGGGGGCAGCGCACAGAGCCCCAGGCCCCCCCACCTAGGAGCCAGACCTGCTGCTGGCTGCTTCCAGAGCACAGTGCGGTGTCCGAACAGGTAGGGACTAGCCTGCCTTAGTCAGGCAGCACCGCTGACGGGCTGGGACTTTTAACGTTCCGGTTGGCAGTGCTGACCAGAATCCCTGCGACCCAGTGCCTTGCCTTCCGCGACCCAGTACTGGGTCGGGACCTGTAATTTGAAAACCACTGCACTAAAGTATACACTTGCTGCTCTGCCACACTCTCTAGACTAGTGTTAGGTGCCCAGTGGTTTGGCCTCAGGATACCTACAAGATTGTCTAAAGCTCCAGGCAAGAACTTCAAGTAGGATTGCCAACAGTCCTGTATTATAAGGGATGTCCCTTATTTAAATAAAATACTGTCTTGTGCTGATTTAGTAGGGGACAAACACCTTTTATCCCAAATTTCAACCAGGGTAGTGCTACTGGTTGGCAACTTGCTCTGGTGCACAGGGTCACAATGCCACTCAACTTTGGCCCAGCCACCCCTCAATCATGCCTTAGCAGCCCCTGGACCTCTGTTGAATTGGTGTTGGCAACCCCTCTGCCCAGTTCTCCTCTTCAAGCACAATTGAACTATGCTCAACAAGGGTAGATCCCATTCGGACATGGGGGTGGAGCTTTCTCCAGGGCCGATCCAGAAGTGTGGAATGAACTTCCACAGGAATTAACCATCGGACCCTGCAACTTTCTGCTCCAAGTGCAAGGTGCTTAGTTTTGCAAATATAAACAGTAATACATGTATTCTATTAAATTATCTAAAAACAGTTATTCTTGTGGGGGGAGAGAACTATACATGACTGATGTGGATCTTGTTGCTGAACATACTTCCGGAAGGGGCTCAGATACTGTCGTGACAAGGTCTATATAAGAAGCTTAATAGTATAGAGCCCCTCTTTATTCATGACATGCAGCGTTAAGGTCATATATGATGTAACTAGGAATATACTGCCTCTGCAGTTAGCCTCCCTTCATCCAAGCCACCTACTAACCTATCTATGATCTCATTAAGGAACACAGAGAAACAACCGTCCTGCATTTTCCGCCTCTTCATTTGTATTGGCACAGCACTGTGGTAACTGTTCTCTTCTCTGTGGAACAGCCTGTGCTAGTGGTACTGCAGTTGTATGCCTCCGTTCTGTTCCTCTGTCTGTGTCAGAGAAGGCTGTCCAGTTCAATATCCCAACTATCTCCTGTCTAGCGGTTAAAGATCTCGGGAAGACTGAGACTAGCCTTGGAACAGTGAAAATGCAAGTGTGGATTTTGTAGTAAAATGACACTTGGTTCTTCAAAACAGGGTTGTATGTGTCATGGTAGCTTTTCTGAATAGCTCTAATCTAGTGCTTGCATTTATCCTTCAGCTGTGACTTGAAGTTTCTGATTTTCAGCCTGTTCTTGCCAAAAGATCAGACCTACACCCAATAGTTTGAAGGAGGATCTTTTTGGCAAAAAATATAAAACAAGCAACCCTGTGGGGGTGGTGGTTTTTTTTGTTTTGTTTTGTTTTTTTCCCTTGGGTCACCCTGATTCTTATGTCAGGTGTCGGACCTGTGCCTGGCATTTGGGGTTTTATCACGAATAGTGGTGAAATGATGGCTTCGCTCTCTTTCTGAACTGGAGAGTGCAAAGTACCCTGTGCATGAGTGTTCTTCACGCTGATAAGAAAACTGTGTCCTTGCCAGAGGAAAGGCATCTGGCTGGTGCCATGGCCCATTTTGGGAGGGAGGTTGTGTGTGTTTTCAATGTTCGGGATATGGGAGTGTTCTGTGCTTGCGGTAGTAAGTGTGGTGGTTTTCCTTCACATAGGAGAAGGGCGCCCTCAGCTTTGAGCGGCACTATCATGTCACTGACCCATTCATCCGACGCCTGGGCCTAGAAGCAGAGTTGCAGGTAAGTGAGCAGTGCAAGAAGAACTAAACTACCTACCTGTTCCACATTAAACTGCATAACACACCTGTCTGAGCTCCATAGATTTCTACACTCTCTTAAGAGCACTGGTTTGTCTCCTCAATGTGAGGCATTTCTAGCACTATGCTAGAGCCAGGAACCATGTAGTAAGTTAGTGTATAGGACTCTACTAATGCACCTTACAACATCAGCTGTCTTGTACCCGGGACAGGCACTAAGCCTGGTCATAGTTGTTTTTGACATAGGCAAACCTCTCCTAGTTAAGTCTGATGGCCTGACTTCTTCCTATGACATTTGTGACTGCAGTAAGTGCCTTAGTAACCAATAAATGGTCACACTGCAGTCTGATGCTCCTGAAACAGATTACAAATCTTTGAGCGTTTGTCTTCCCATTGGTACAAATTCAGTTTTTTCCTCCTACACCTCTCTTCAACTCCATCTTCCTCTCCTCCCTAAATTTCCCCTCCCCGCAACCTCCCGAAATGCTGATTAGGCACTTCAGCCATTCCTTTTGTAATCCTTTGTTAGATAGGCTGGAAGTATATTGCACATTCACCCAAATGCAAGATGCGCTTTCATTACCTCCCTTTGAGAAGCATCTTCCCTGCATCCCCCAAGGATCTGTGCACACGATTCTCAGCCTAGCCAAGAGCTTTTGAAACAGTCACCTTTCCTTGTGTGCAGCAGTATCTCTGCATTCGCCTTTAAGGCTGAGCTGCTATTGTATCCAGTTGTAAATTATTCTTTTTCCCAACAAGCTAGAGCACGCCTTTCTTTCCTGGAGGTGCCTATCTGAGGTGTGGGTAGGGGTGTCTGAAATGGAAAGCTGTTTATACCAGAACCAGTTGTGTGGGGGTGCTTGCTGTGTCCTTGTCTCATAAGAGTCCTTGATAAGTCTGCAGTTTGTGTAACATTCTCTTCCCTTCTTTGCTCAGGGTCACTCTGGATGCGTCAACTGTCTAGAATGGAATGAGAAAGGAGAGTAAGTATGGGTCTCGATTCAGGGATGAACAAACTGATAGCCCAAGCTCCCCCATGAGTGGGCTGAGGATCATCTTATCATAAGGGGCCACTTCCTCTTCCCAGTGAAGTAAATAAGGGCTCAGGCTAAAGGTTTTGGACTATAAATCCCAGATTTTGGAAACAAGGCTTATTTCGTTGGCTATATCTGGAAATGCTCCTCTTGTGAGTTTGTAAAGGAAACTGGGATGGGATGGCAAGTGAAGGATCCTCTTCCATAGAGGGCTAGAGTACCATCCACTTAACTAGGGCTGTGGCACAGTGGATCTTTGGGATTTGTACCCTTATATGGGACTGGGGTGGTGGATTTCCCCCCCCCTTTCCCTATGCTGTAGTTTGAGTGCTTCTCTGGTGAGGAAGCAGAGTGTAGGAGTACAGGGTGGAAGAGTCCCTCTCTCCATCTAATAAACCTCCTTCTCTGCACTATCATACACTAAAGCATTGGTGTTTAATAACTAGCACAAGTGAAGTAAACCATATCCACCTGGGAAATAAGTGTAAGGGAGCGTCTCTACTGTGTTTGAGCCAATTACCACAGCCTACATTCTGTCCTCTGGTCCTCACCCAAATCCATGGAGGAATTTGGCTCCAAGGAGTAGTTTTCAGGCTGAAGGTCATGGCATCTGTTGGCATCCCCGTCTGGTCACCTGTTCCATGCCTCTTCCACTGAAGTAGATCAGTTCTGCCACTTGTGCCTGCTCACGCACGCTCACACAAGAATCACTGCATGGATTCTGGTGTGGGGCACATTTGAGGACCAGTTGTGAATGACAGGATGTAGGCTCACAGGATGAGTGGCTGAGCAGCTACTCACAGCTGGGAATGGAGCAATGCTTATAGCTCTCCTCTCGTTTTTTTCAGCTTGCTGGCTTCTGGCTCCGATGACCAGCATACCATTGTCTGGGATCCCCTGCATCACAAGAAGCTTCTTTCTATGCACACAGGGCATACTGCGAATATCTTCTCTGTCAAGGTGAGTGGGGCCCCAGGTGCGTGTTTGAAAACGAGAGGTGGAAAGAGGACACAGCCAGATGGGACTCGGTGTTTGATTTGCATGAAAATAACTTGTTTTTTAAATGTGAATGGGGAATATTTTTCCATAAGCAAGTTCTCCAAAGAGTACTAAATTTAAACTCTTCCAGTATTAAGAAAAGTTATATTAGATGTAGTATTCTGCATCTCAGTCTGTGCAATCCTCTGAGCTTGATCACATATCCATATAAATACTGGCAGTGGTGGCTATATCAATCCAGGTGGGGAAAAAATGCGGTAGAGAGAACTGCATTGTATGTCACATTGCTGGAGACTTAGAGAGACTTGTACAGCAAGCATATGCAAGGAACGTATGTAATTACAGAAGGTTACTCCACATGCATAGAGAAAGGATGATCCAGTGGTTAGGGTGCTAGCCTGGGACTCGGGAGACCTATGTTCAGTTCCCTGCTCCAGCACAGACATTCTGTGGGGCCTTGGGCAAACCATTTAGTGTCTCGAGTGTGCCTCAGTTTTCCATTTTACAGATGGGGATAATAGAATTTCCTTACCTCCGTGTGGGTGCTGTGAGGATTAAAAAGATTGAGAGGTGCTCCATTATTACATTAATGAGCACCGTATAAGAACCTTACATAGATATCTGGCCACGTGGCTTTGATCGCTACTCTGCTACAGTTGGGAGTAGCTTACATTTCACAGGGAGATGTAACAGAAGTCTTTAAATGGAGGAAGAATTTGCTGTCAAACCATCCCTCCTTACAGAAGGAAAACTGGAGACTGGTCACTCGTGTCTGAGCACAAGCAGTGGTAGCCAGATTTGGGACTGCATGCAGAGCCCTACAATCTAGACTCAGTCCTGCCTTCTCTGTAAATGCTGCAAGAAGGCAAGAGTTGCTTTGCCTCTTTCAAATAAGAATGACCTGCTATCAGACAAGCTTTGATTTCCCAGCCGGGAGCTGCTGTTCTATTGCATTGTTGCCTGTTGTGATCCAAGCTCTTTCAGGATGTAACTGTAGCTACAGCAGCTTGTCGCAAAGGGAGATGCAGCAGCGGCCAGGCTATAACTGACTAAGGTTGGATGACTGTAAAGTGGCAGTTGAAATGTCTGAAGCTCTTCTTCCTTCCACAGTTCTTGCCACATTCAGGGGATCGGATCCTCATCACAGGAGCTGCAGACTCCAAGGTGCATGTTCATGACTTGACTGTCAAGGAAACCATCCACATGTTTGGTGACCACACCAACCGGGTCAAGCGTATTGCCACGGCCCCTATGTGGCCCAACACATTCTGGAGCGCAGCGGAGGATGGGCTAATCCGGTAAAAAGCTTTGGTGCTCGTTCTGGGGAGTAGCTTTTGGTGCTGTGAGAGCTGTTTATCAGAGTAGTCATGCTTGAGTGGTCACTGACACCCTTAGTTCACTCTGCCCCTTCCTGTTGGGTTAGCACAGTTCAGTTAATAAATGAAGAGGAACTTTGGTTCGCTGCTTTGACTATTACTGACATTGTCTTCTTGTGACTGTATGTATTATTTGTTTTGCCATAACACCTAGGAGCCCTCATCACTGACCAGGACCCCATTGTGGTAGGTGCTGTACTCAGAACAAAAAGTTGGTCCTTCCCCCTGGAGATTACAATCTAAGTACAAGACAGACAACAGATGGATACGGACAGGTTGGGGGGGGCGGGTACAAGGAAGCAATGAGGTAATATTGGTGATAGAGTAGTGGTCTCAGTACACCAGCTGCCTAACGGTTGTCAAGTTTTTGGTAGGCCTCATGGCCAAGGAAAGTTTAGAGGAGGGATTTGAAGGGTGGCTAATGAGGTAGCTTCTTGGATGTTCCTGGGGAGCTCCTCCCAAAGGTGAGGGGCAGCATGGGATGGGAGACTGCAAAAGTTGCTTGTTTGAAAAGTTAACAACTGGGCAATGGAGGCTGGTATTGTGGGCCAATTAGTGGTGAGTGTTGGCAGCTCAATGGTGAATGAGAGAGAAGTAGGGTGGGGTTTGATTGCGAAGAACCTTGAAAGTGAAGATACTTAGGGTTGTTTACACTGGCACTTTACAGCGTTGCAACTTTCTCGCTCAGGGGCGATGCACGTTTCAGCGCTGTAAAGCGCCAGTATAGACAGTGCACCAGTGCTGGGAGCTACGCCCCTTGTGGAGGTGGTGTGGTTTTCTCCCAGCACTAGGCCGTGACTACACAAGCCACATTAATGCTTTAACATTGCTAGTGAAGACATGCCCTTCGCTTATGTTTTGGGCAGTGGCGTAGCCAGGGTCTAAGTGTAGGGGGAGCAAACAGAAAAAAGGCGCTCCCACTTGGCTCCTCCTCCTGGCCATGCCCTCCCTTGGCTCCTCCCATTTCCCCCCCCCTCCAGATTAACCCCGGGGCCTGGCTCAGGACTCCTGCGGGCTTCCCGGGGGTGCAGATACCCCCTTCCCCCTGTGGTCCCGGGAGTCTCTCCTGCCCAGCCTGCTCTGCAGATGTCCCCCGCCAGGCTGCACCACCCGGCCCCACCCGCAGGGTCCTGTCCCCCCCCGCCCGGGGCTCCAGGCTCCTGTGCTGTGCCAGGGCCCCCCATCCAGACAGTGTGGCCTGTGCCCCTGCCCTGTGGGCCCAGCCCTGGGGAGCCCCTCGCCCGGAGGGGACCCCCAGTGCAAGGCACCGGACCCCCGCCGCTCACGTTTTGTCCTGCGCCGCCACCTGTCCCCGGCTGATCCCGGCTCCGGGCGGGAAGCACTTGGTCTCTGAGCCCTGAGCCACTGCAGGAGGTGGCTGCGCCTGCAGCGATGTTGGGGGGCCGCGTGGGTGCGATGGCCGAGGAGCCGGACCTCTCGCATCTTGGGCCACGCCTGCCGCCAGTCCCCCCCCATGGACTCCTCCAGCCGTGCTGCCCCCAGCGCCGGCCGGACCGTCCTGCGCCGCCACCTGTCACCGGCCGATTCTGGCACCGCGGGCGGATCCCAGCTCCAGCTCGGGGTGGGGAGTGCTTGGCTGCCGAGCCCTGAGCTGCTGCAGGAGGTGGCTGCGCCTGTGGTGATGTTGGGGCTGCGTGGGGCGTGATGGCCGAGGAGCCGCCCCCACCCCCCATGGCTCCTCCGGCAGTGCTGCCCCCGGCGCTGGCCCGGCAGGCGCCGCTTTTGGGAAAAGGGGTGAGGGGAAGCGGCTGCTTCCCCTGCACCCCACTAGCTACGCTACTGGTTTTGGGTTAGAGAAACGGGAGGCAGTGGAGGGATGCAGAGAGGGGTGATATGACTGGCTAGGAAAATTTATCTTTGCGGCAGCATTCTGAATGGATATGAGTGGGGCAAGGCTGCATTTGTCAAAGGCAGCAAGAAGGATGAGCACTCAGAGTAGAGTTTTAGCTGTGTGGATGGATGAGAGGCCATATTTTAGATTTTTAATATTTTATATTGCTGTTGTGCCTAGAGGCCAACAGGTTAGGACCCCATTGCGCTAGGGGCTGTACACATATGTAGTGAGAATTTCCTGCCCCAAAGAGCTTGGTCTAGTCTCGATCTTCCCCCCCCCCCTTAACCCTCCTCCCCTCCCCACCAGCCCCCCCAAAATCTGAATGGTTCAGCTTGAAATAAAGGGTATCCTTTCATACATAGAGGAAAAGGGGAGGACATTTCCTGTTACAGAAAATGAGGTCAGAAAAGAACAGTCCTATCTCCATCAGAAGGAGCAGAGGAAGGCAGATGCAATGTGCCTCCAGAACCCTCATTAAGACTCTAGAACAGCTAAAGATACTACCCTCCAAGATTTTATTTATTCCAGGTTTAATACTGGACTCTGGGTGTGTGTGGTAGGTCATGACTCTGTGAGTTCTCGTTGGTGCTAAATAAATTCCCATGTAATACAGACTTGTCAGCAGAAAATGTTGGTTATCCTGGTGTCAAGGCTTAGCTCATCAAATCACGGAGCTCCCAGTAACCTGGGACACTAAAAGCATTCGTGTGATCGTTCGTTCTGCAGTAACAGACCTGGAGGGGAAGGATGTCCTCTTTTTCCTCCTCAGACACCATCCAGTCCTCTGTAAAATCTAGGTCGCTGTTTAGCAGTAATAACATGGCGATATCTGAATTCTTCCTCTGCTTTCCATGGTGATCAAGCTAAACTCCCTTCTATTGCTATGTTGGTTCTTCCTGGGCACTGGTTAACTAACTCTCCCTTCTGCCTTGTAGACAGTATGATCTGCGAGAGAACAGCAAACGCTCAGAAGTCCTGATAGACCTGACCGAATACTGTGGGCAGCTGGTGGAGGCCAAGTGCCTCACTGTCAACCCCCAGGATAACAATTACCTAGCGGTGGGAGCCAGTGGGCCCTTCGTACGGCTCTATGACATACGCATGATCCACAACCACAGGTAATGGCCACCATCACTCGTAGGACCTTCTCGACAGGGAAGTGAGTAACACGAGACCTGAAAGAGGCCTTGCATGGTGGGAATGGGGCATCCAGAGAAGCTGGCGATCATCCTTCTCAGCTGTGCAATGGTACTAAGTTTTGCTCCCCCAGCATCCTTTTCACACAGGTAAGTGGAACTGCCTAGCACTCTTGTGGTGGCTTGGGGCAGGTTTGCAATTGCTCAACTGTCACACACTTTCTTACTTGCAAGGAAAGAATGTATCTGAGGGCTGGCTGAACACAGGCAGTTGAGTGTTGTAATCATAAAACCACTTTCCTTTCTGGCTAGAAAAAGCATGAAGCAGAGTCCCTCAGCGGGAGTCCACACGTTCTGTGACCGGCAGAAACCCCTTCCAGATGGTGCGGCTCAGTACTACGTGGCAGGTACAACTACTGTCCTGATATGACCATTATTTTTATCTGGCAGTGCCTAGGAGCTAGGGTCAGTGATCGGATGAAGGGCAGTTTTTTTGTGCAAGAGAGCTTACAATCTGGTGCATGTGCCTCCAAGTCTCACCGGCTATTATGTTATGAAAACTAGGACTGTCCTGCTCTGCTATCCTGCAAGGCTATAAAATACTGATGCATTAATTAACCTGGGGAGGGACTGGATAGCTGTAGATCCCCTCTCATTTCTGGGTTCGGTTCACACCTGATGTAGATTGCTAATGAACTTGGTCTACTGATGTATGTTGGCTGGCCTACATGAACAAGATGCTGTCACCACTCTGCTACATCACAGCTGTCCCCTTTTAATCAGCTTCATTGCAGAGTCGAGAACTAAATAAACCACAGAGACGATAAACTCCCCTCTAGAGGGGGAAGCATTTGTGGCCCAATGTGAGGGGAAACTTGGCCTCATTCAGTACCTGTCTTGTGGAGAAATGAAATGAGCACCTGTTTTTGTGCCCTTCACCAGCACTAATCACTGTATTTTTTTCCAAAGCCCCTAATATAGATTAGTCTGAACCACTGCACTGAAACAGAGTGAATACTACAAGTCTGACTGGGAAACGGATACATTAAAAAGGATCAGAATTGTGCCCCTGGAAAGCCTTATTTGTAATAAGGTCCCACCATAGGGTCCCTTAATGTTCTTAATCCTTCTGTGTTGGCCATTCAACGCTTCTCCGGTCTATCTGAAGCATGAGAACCCATGTGTGGGCTGAGCAATTAATGCACAATGTGTTCAAGAAGCCATGTTCTGCTGTGCCAATGAGCCAAGACACAGAAACATTAGAGAGTTGAAAAATAATGAAGTTCAAATGGAGTCTTCCATGAATCAGACAGTGGCTGACTCAGTGAATCGCTGGAGCTTCAGGATATTCTCATTGAAGCAGTGTTTAGCTGCCTTTGGATCCTAGCTGGATTGCAAACACCAGTCTTCAGGGGCTGATTCCTTTACACCTGGGCATAGCCATGCAGAAGAGTTTCTTTAAGAGGCCCTGAAAGGATGGCTGTGTAAGTTTGAGGGCAAGTCTTCCTGCCTTGGGTTAGAGCCCCTCAGAGACTGATGTAAAGACTTCTTATATACAGCAGTGGAAAACTGGGAAATAGCTTGGAATGTGACTGTATTTCATTCATGTGCTCTCTTTCAGCAGTCTCCCACAACACATGGTGACCAGTGTGGAGCAGAAGATGTTGAGGGCTACCAGTTAAGCAAGTAAACTATGCTAGTTTCTTCTCTGCAGGGCACCTTCCAGTGAAGCTACCAGACTACAACAACCGGCTGAGAGTTCTAGTAGCCACGTACGTCACCTTCAGTCCTGATGGCACGGAGCTGTTGGTCAATATGGGAGGGGAACAGGTAGGATGCTAACTGAAGTTCAGGAATAAGGGTTTTACATAAGACTGTATTAGCTGGGTCATGATGTCTTGACTCACCCTGATATTATTCTACAGCGTTTATCATGCCTTGAGCAATTTGTGTGTGTCTGTAATACAGTTTGATTCAAGTGGCTGTTGTCAGGGATTTAATGGTTACCCTCTTACATCAGAGGTCAGTGTAATGTTAAATTTGAGTAGCAAATTTTCACTCAGGCAAATGTCAACTGCAAAACCAATCTGGAAGAGCTGCAGAAATTGTTTCATGACTGACCTGGGAATGAGTTGCTTTAGGAAACCTGCACTAATTCCTATACTGCCACCTCTAGCTAGTTCTCTAGTAGAATCTAGTGGAGGAAGAGTTCTCTTCCTATAGAGACAATGGCTTGTACCTGGGATGTTTGACAGTTTCATTCTAAGCATTAATGACATTCTTGGGTCTTTGTAAAAGCCTATTGTGAATCTCTTCCTGGTAGAAATCAACAACTGCAAATCGAGGGCTGGTTTAGATTGCAGTGAGACCAGTAAATCCTGCTGGCAGAGCTAACTTCTAAGGGTTAGGGAGGGAACTTCCCTTGTGGGCAGGTTATTCCAGAGCCATTCTCTGCACCTTCCTCTGAAGTGTCTGATAATGCCACTTTGTGAGAGAGTATTGGGTTAGATAGACTTTGAGTCTGATTTGGGCTGGCAGTTCTTATGCCGATGCACTCTTGCTCAAGGGCTTTGCGGCACAGAATGCTGGGCTTCTCTAGAAGAAGGGAGTCTTCCTTTGCCCATAGATGGTTTTCCCTTCGTCTAGTGCGACCCACTTGTTTCCCATTCTCAGCTGCTAATTGTTTACAATCAGGTCATGAACCCAAGGACAAAAATGGTTCAGTAACCTGTTTGTATAGGCTGAAGTTAAATTTGTAGATTGTGTGATATTTTTTTGTTTGTGTGTGTGTGTGTGTGTGTGTGTGTGTGTGTGTGCGCTCCTTTTTTTTAACCCTATTAACATTGTAGCTGGAACTTTTTTGCCTTTACTAACCATTCAGTCACCAGTCAATTCTTGCTTATGTAGTATGTTTGGTATCAAGGGGGCTTTATTGCCATTAGTTTAATAAGTCAGGTGTCTCATTTCTCAGCACAGTTCTTTCTGAACCTCTTACCTTGTCCCAGTGCTGGTACTGCTGCCCTTTTGTCTCCTTGCTGTATGTGTGTCTATAACATTCTACCAAACTCTAATAGACAGAAAGCAAAATGGTTGGCTGGGTGGTGTTCTGTACTGCTCATCACCATGGTGTCACTGACTGTGCGTTCAGTCCTTGGTATCTCTCTCTCTCTCTCCCATTGCCTTGTAGGTCTACTTGTTTGACCTGACTTACAAACAGAGGCCGTACACTTTTCTCCTGCCAAAGAAGTGCCACTCTTCAGGGGGTAAGTGTGGTGCTGTATGGGAAGTGAGAGCGAAGCCCAGCGCAATTCTGCTTTCCAGTGTGAAATCTGAGCTGAGCAGGAACTAGAAAAGTGAATGAGGGCAGCAAGGCTATTCTATAAATTTAAACCCTCTACTAATCTGAGGAAAATACGGGGGGTCATCGCTCGTGCCTGGGCCCAGCCTGTTGAAGGCGGTACTGAATGCCCTTCATCTTGGCTTCCATTTTCTGTGGGAATGGGGAGGCGGGAGAAGATTGGAGAAGCTCTCGGTGTATTCAGCTCTCTTGCTTGGGAGATCTGTTGTGATGGATCCTGCAGAGTATTTGTAGCTGATGTCCGAGGAGATCAGCCAATCCTGCCAAATGCTTATACTTCCATATACTTTGAGGTAGGAACCAGACTCTCTGAAGTCAGTGGAGTTGTAGCTACTTACCTCTGGGCTGAATTGGGCTCCTGCTAGCCTGACTTCGTGTTGGTGGACTAGAAATTCCAAGCCCACAGAGGAGAGTCTGTCATCTGTAGCTGGATTTTACTCTTCTAATTATTTATATTTTTTTACAACCCCCTCCCCCCCCCCCAGAAGTGCAGAATGGAAAGACCTCAACCAATGGAGTGTCAAATGGCATCCATCTCCACAGCAACGGATTCAGATTGTCTGAGGGAAGAACACATATCAGGTGAGGTGACACATTCGTTTGGATGAGGTGCCCCTGGTTCTGCTCTGTGCCCTGTGATCCCAGCGAGACCCGAAGCTGCTGACTGAGGTGTGAAGTGGAATTCTTCTTCACTTACTAACGCAAAGATTACCCAGGGAGCGCTGTTCTGGTATTCACTCAGCTGCTGGTGGTAAACGGGCTGCAAACCAGAGCCAGGTTAGGCCAAGAGCATGATGGGGAAATCCTGGCCATCAGGATCTTTTTCCTTTTATGGTTGTGGTGAATTATTGCTGAATAAATCCACAACTGGCCTGTCACACATGGAAACTGACCTCCTTTACTTCTCCACAGCACAGTCTCTCCTTCCTGTGAAATGATTTGGCAGTCTCAGGTCACAAATCCCAGAACCGCCCTCGGATGGTCATGACTCAGTCCTGATCATCTTGGCCTGGATTTGAACTGGTGACCGGGTTGAATGGTTCTTTGCCATTACCAATATCTACTCTACTTCTCTCTCTTTTTAAAAGGACTAAGTGTAGTTGGGGAAGCAGAGGCAGACTTGAAGTTTAACATGTCTGGTGTTTTGGGGGTTCCTCTAGCATAAGGTGCTAATTCATCAGAAATCTTTGAAATGCCAAGAGACTTAGTGCCGCCATGTGAGCTGGCTTATTTGACTCTTTAAAAAAAATAAGAGTGTCACTGAATGCCGACTTAAAACTGATTAAAAGAAATATTGTTTACACAACACAACCTGTGGAACTTGCCGCTGCAAAGTATCACTGAAGCAAAGAGATTCTAGTAGAGCTCAGTGAAGAGTTAAACACTTCACACGGATAACAAAAGCACCTATTGTTACATTACTTAGTGTTAAAATAAAAAAGATGGGAGTTTTCATGCTCCAGGGCATAAGCCAACTCCTCACTGACAGGGCTTCTAAGGAAACTTCCCTAAGCTCAGGTGCTTTCTTGTACCTATGCACCTTTGTGAAGCATCTGGTATTGGCCACTGTCAGATACTGGACAAGATGAACCCTTGATGTGACTGTGGTGGGCTCTGTTCCTTTGTTTCTCAGTGTAATGGAATTCTTCTATTCGACTTTTAACTAGACCAAATTGTTGAATCTCTTCAGCGTTACCGTAGTGATTGTAACCCCACACCTGTCTCTCCCTGCAGTCCCCAGATTGAGCTGCCTCCATATCTGGAAAAAATTAAACAGCAAGCCAATGAGGCATTTGCGTGCCAGCAGTGGACTCAAGCCATCCAGCTGTACAGCAGAGCAGTTCAGAAAGCCCCCAACAACGCCATGCTGTACGGAAACAGAGCTGCTGCCTACATGAAGCGCAAGTGGTAAGTAAGCTGGACTCCTTTTGTGGAAGGCTAACGAAATGAGTGTGTGCTGTCAAACGGTGTACCACAGGATTTGGGCATCAGTACTGCTTGGTATACAAAGTTATGGGCTCCAGACTTGGGTGTGACCCCATTGAGTTCCTTTCTCATGGGCCCCATTGCTCACAGCGAGGCTCCTAGCCACATTTGTGCAGAGTGGGGCTCATCTAATCGGATAAAACCTACTGCAGGATACTGGGAAACCTAGAATGGGTTAATCACAGAATTGTGTATGTTAAAGACAGGTTACAGATGGTGTCTGGTCATGAGATGCATTTCATTGCTCACTGGTACAATCTAGGTAGCTTGCTGTTTCTTTATAACATTATAAAAAACCCATGTGTCTCAAGCAGCATCAATAGCTCTGATCTGGTATAGGGAACATTCCAGTGGAAGGATTTGTAGACATTTATCCCCCGACAAGGTAGGGGTTATGCTGCTCATTTGGTTCAATCCTTGTTACGTTCCTGAAAGCTAAGACCCCCTGCAGGTTGGTTGTAACTGCTCCCACTGCTAGCTTAGTCCAAATCACCACATTGGCAGATGTACCCAGAGCACATCTAACGTGAGGTGTATTAATTCACATACTACCTGGACTAGGCACGTCTGCCATACTGGAAACTACCTGGGATCCTTTCAGTAACACTGCAGAGTTATGGTTAATTTTTGGGCACTACCAAAGGTTGTGTCTGGCACATTGCTGAATGCGTACTGCTAGCATCTGCAACAGTTAACGTCCCTTCTGACAACAGCCAGAGCTGCTCACACAAAATATGGCAAAGCTGTTTTAGGTGCGTGTGCGCTCACTCCCTCTTTCTCCTTGAGTAGAGTAGGACCATTGGATAATGACTTACTATCAGCATATGTAAAATAGCAGTGATCTCTTACATCTACTGCTGTTTTGTGAGAAACTCCCTCCTGGTAGGAGTTCTCCTACCTTCTTGCCAAGATGAAGAACTGCCATCAATTTGATCTGAACATTGGTAGCTGGCCAGTGGTTGGTATTGCAAAGACAGGAACAAAGGTTTGGGAGCAGCCTCAGAAGGATGTAAAAGTCAAGGAGGGAGAAGACTCTAGGGTGATGCAATGGGAGGGAATTGTGAAAGGGAAAACATAGGTTGAGCATCAGGGCAAACTTCATTAGTGAGGTGTTAGGAAAAATGATTCCCTTTACTAAAGAAGTGGTGTTGGCTGGCACATCTGAAACTATACTGTGCTAAGTGCTAGAAGGTGAACAGCAGGATATTTCTTCTGGTGAGAAGATGAACAGTTAACGCTCCAGCAGGTTTCTTTAATATGTAATTGTTACAAGGTCCCCAACCTGGAGCCTGAACCCACCAAACCCACCAGCCTGGACTGTGTCTCGCACTATGGTGCTAATGTCCAGCTACAAGCCGCTGATAGGCACTGCAATTGTACAGCAATCTACAGGCAGGGACACACCCAGCTGAGTTACATGAATGATCACGCAGCCACTCAGGACCCATCAATAGAGGGGCCTCAGCCAATTCCCCCCCACTCCCTAGCCTTGCACCCCAGAAATATACCGTCTTGCACTGCTCAAGGTTCCCTTTGACAGCGCAAACTCTTCAATAAGTTTGCCATTTCTTCATAGGCAAGTGGACATGCACCAGAGATTCCCCAAGCACTTCAACTAAAAACACTTTGTTTTAGATAAAATATAAAACTGATTTATTAACTCCAGAAAGATAGATTTTAAGTGATTATAAGTAGTAGTCATGGAGATCAAATTTGGTTACTTAAGAAATTAGAGTTTAGACTGCAAACTTATTTTTAACTGAAACTGACTAAGCAAGATTTGACTCAGTCTCTTACCCTAACAGATGGTACAAACCACTTACAGTTCCTCAATACACAGATTGGACCCCCTTCCAGCCTGGGACCAATCTCCCTAGTTCAAAGTCTTTATCTTCCAGATGATTTCCCAGGTGTTCAGATTGGGCAGGGGAGTCATAAGAGGCCAAGTGATGATGTCACTGCCTCTCTTTTTATAGGTTTCAGAGTAGCAGCCGTGTTAATCTGTATCCACAAAAAGAACAGGAGTACTTGTGGCACCTTAGAGACTAACATTTATTTGAGCATAAGCTTTTGTGGGCTACAGCTTCACTCTTTTTATACCTTCTTCTAGCTGCTAGAAAGATCCTTGCTGTGATTTGGGAGCCAGACAGTTTTCGTTGCCTACATGCATTTTCTGAGAAGCTTCTGGGAGAGTGGATTCTCTCTGATGGGCCATCAATGCCTGTCTGGCCCTCCTTTCTTGCAACGGAAAGGCTGGCTGTGGGCATCTCCCAATCTCTCTCATTTCACATATAGCAATACTTGATAACTTCACCTACAATGATAGTACATACAGTCCAACAGGCTATTAGGGTTTAGCAGATCAAGACTTTTTAAATGATACCTCACAAGGCATGCATTGTACAAAACCTATCCTAATCATATGACCGTGAATATGGGGGTTCCCAGGTGCTACTTTGAGGCACAGAGTGTCACAGTAATCTTTGGAATTTCACTGAAGGATATATTAGTAACTTGCCAGGAGCACAAAGGATGTGGTGATTGGCTCCTTTTCTCCTGCCAAGGGCAGCTACCACCATCCCACAAATGGAGGCTGGGGTCTCACATGAGACAATGCATTGTAGCCTGGCTCCTCAGCCCATACTGGGACACGTTAACTCCCTGGGCTATGTCCTCCATACCTCAAGGTGAGGGCAGCTGCAGGCCAAGCTATAGAACTCTGTGGGCCTCACTTTGGCCTCCCTCTTAATGAACAATGGGCAGGTACAGAAAGGTCTCTCTGTGTCTCTCTCTCTCTCTCTCTCTCTTCCCCTTCCCCCCCCCCCAACCACACACGCGCTCTCTCTCTCTCAGGGCCGGCTTTAGCAGGTGCGGGGCCCCACACCGGGACGCAAATTGTCTCGCCCTCCACCCTGGCTCTGCCCCCTCTCTACCCTATTGGATCCCTCCTCTAATCCCTGCCCTGGCCCCGCCTCTTCCCCAAGCATGCTGCATTCCTCCTCCTCACCCCTCCCTCCCAGGCTTGCGCTGATCAGCTGTATGGCGGCGCAAGCGCTGGAGGGAGGGGGGAGAAGCAGGATGTGGCTTTTTTTTTTTTTTTTCCCCCGCTCCGCCGGCAGCTCTGGACATTGCGGGGCCCTCTTAAGCGCAGGGCCCCATTCTGGGGAATCGGCCCAATTGGTTTAAAGCCGGCCCTGCCCCCACTCCTCCCTAAAGCTACTGTTCGTGCTCAATAGCTGGTTTTCAAACACACATGTTCTCTGCCACTTAAAATCGGAAAATGTCCCAGTTTGCACTTACAGGCAAAGTTTCCTAAGCAGTCTTCACTGGCTGCAATTAAACCACTTTATATCTAAAGCTTTTAAGATCACATGATGTCAAATCTTGTAACTCTGGGAGAAGGAAGCTGCTGCTTTAGAATAGCAAATTCTTGATACCCAATCTGTCTGGCTGTTGCCAGTTTGACAGTGACGACCGAAGTCTTTTTGGGTGTGTCAAAGTAGCTAACAGCAGAACTAACTCTTCAAAATACCAAGAAAGCCACATTCTGTCTCCATTTCACTTAAAGCTTTGCCTGTGGTCAAGTCTCTTCTTGGACGTCAGCTGCCTAATAGAAAATTTGTTTTTTAAAGACCTGATTTGAGCAGGGGAGCCTGCATCCACACTGCTGGATTGATGGTCTGGTGCTTCTGAAGGTGTATAAAAGTGTTTAAGTACTGGGTTTGTGTTAATGCCGGTTCTGCCACTAATTTCACAGACAAACCACTTAACCTCTCGCTACCCCACCCTTCCAGCTGTAACGTAGGACCGGTATTCACCTACCTCATATGAGTTGACACTTACTGGCTAAATTCAGGCAGGTGCAACTTCATTGTTTACACACAGTCTGAAATGAACCCAATGTTTGCAAAGTGCTTTGATTTTTCTTTGCAGTAGAAGGTGCAGGTGATGATACAGCTGGCTGAATTGGTCTGCAAATATATTTCCATAAATAAAAAGCCTCTGGGCTGACGACATGCTTTCAAATTCCATTCTGTAGAGAGAAGACTGCTTTACCCCACGCAATCTTCTTGTGACTCGCTCGATTTGGATTTCCGGGCTGAATAGGACTCTTGTGGGCAGTGCTATGCTGTTATAGCAGGGATGGCAAAAGACATTTCTAGGGTTGGGCTCGTCCCTTAAAGCCTGGTGGCCTCATCACACACGTATCTTCCTTCAGGGGTCAAGTTGATAGGGGAGGGGGAAATAAACATGCTCTTCCGAGTTCCACCCACATGAGTCCTCAAAAACAAGACATTGCTTGCAGACTTTGCAGATGTTCAAAAAAATGTGCATGGGCTCGTTGGGCGTGGCTCCATTCATTGGGGCCCAAACGGCCTGCTTGATTCATCGATAGCAGAGGGAAAAAAAAATGGTGGGGGGTCTCCCCCGTGGTGCCAAAATGAGGAATTGCTCAGGGAGGTTCTACATTTAAAACACTGCATTGGTGCCTCTGTAGCGCTTAAGTGAAGACGCTCTATGCCGACAGGAGAGCTGCTCCCCTCAGCATAGTTTATCCACCTCCTGGAGAGGTGGTAGCTGTATCATAGCGCTGTATACATGGAGGGATAGATTGGTATAACTACATGACTCGGATGTGGATTTTTCACAGCCCTGAGTGATGTAGTTATACTGATTATAGGTAGAGCTGGCCTCAGAGTTCCCCCTCTTTTCTTCTGTACTTTCTTGAGCAGTGAAAGAGCTAACAATGTTAATGTTCTAAAGTATCAAATGGGGCGCCTGAGTTACCCCGTCACTGAGATATATGGGGCAGTTCATGCTTCTCTGAGAGATTGTTCCAGGCTCTGGCAGATCAGTTCGCTCTGTTCAGTTTTGAGATTTTGTTGCAACCCAAACAGTATGTGTGTGTGGGGTGGGGGGGGGTTCACACCCCTGAGCGACGAAAGTGAACCTTATGACAGGTCTACACTACAGACCTATATCTGTAACTACGTTGCTCAGGGGTGTGAAAAATCCATATTCCTGAGCTACATAGTTATATAAACCGCTGCGTAGATAAGCTGTCTGTCTGCAGGAGAGCTTCTCCCACTGACCTATCTACTGCCTCTCAGAGAGGTGGCTTAACAACCAACAGGAGAAGCTCTCCCATTGGCTTAGGAGCATCTCCACTAAAGCGCTGCAGCTGTGCCGCTGTAGCGCTGTACGTGAAGAAAATCCCTTAGACTTTATTTTTTAAAATTCTGAGACTGGCACAGGAGGGCAGCTTGGGAGAGTAGTTAATCCTGCTGCCCGCCATCCCAATCAAAGCCCTGGCTTCCATCCCCTCCTTCAGCCCACATCTAATAGAACTAAATACCAAAGTGAAAGGTTTGTCATGTTTCTTCTGCTTCTGGGATGCATGCTGAGACAGGCTGGCATTGTCCTCCACTTTCTCCTATAACTTTGGGTATAGGGCAATTAAGCATGCTTAGCCTAAATATTTTTAAACGTAACCAGTTGGATGTTATGATTTGGCTCAATAGGTACCAATCGGTTACAGAAGACATTTAAAAACCACAGGATGAACATGAATTGCAGGAGGAGGATGCCACTTTGGAGATAAATGTCCATCAGGAATATAAAATCCTGATGGTTTTATATCCCCCTGCTGGGCATCTAACTCGGCCATTGGAAAGGGAAATGTGCTGCTACTCAATTTTCCCCACAAGAGGGAACACTTGAGCTACTGTGCTCGTGGAAAGGTATCTGTGCCCTAGGACTCCTTTCTGTAGGCTTGGCCTGGGGACTGCTCCTTTGGGGATGGGGGATCCCCATCACAGACTAGCTTGCAGGAATGAGACTTGATCTGTAGGACTTAAAATAGTAGCACAGGAAACTATTGTGCAGCCACTCTAGGGGAGGCAGAGACCTGGTCTTCAAACAGGAGGTGATCCCTTTTCTGCGCGGAGACCTAGTTCTGTGAGCTGAGCCGCTGGGAGATGAAATGAGAGCTCTTGTGAGAAAGGAAGTGCTGTTGGAGATACTTGGGAAAGCCCACGGGTACAGGGAGAGCTGAGAAGTAGATAACAAGCTCTCGTGTTGCCTGGAAGAGGGTAGTGGATATTTAGGTCCCTTCAGGGTCTGTTCTTCTCTCTGCAGGGATGGGGATCACTATGATGCTTTAAGAGACTGCTTGAAGGCCATCTCCCTGAACCCAGGCCACCTGAAAGCCCACTTCCGCCTGGCCCGCTGTCTCTTTGAACTGAAGTATGTGGCAGAAGCACTAGAATGTCTGGATGACTTCAAAGGGAAGTTCCCGGAACAGGCACATAGCAGCGCTTGTGATGCACTGGATCGAGACATCAATGCAGCCCTCTTCTCTAAAAGTGATAACGGTGCGTGCCAATGCTCAGCCCTTTGGGTTGGATTCCGGTATAACTCAGGAAGAAAGTCTTGACCTAAATTACAACCCTGCTATAAAGTGATGCTCATTGAGCTGCAGTTTGTCCATAGATTGATTTGATTTCCTGGCTGAAAGCTGTCTCCATAACTGCACCAGCTATCTTGTGACTTGCAGCTGTTGCTTGGTTGTTTACAGAGAGCTCTAAGTTCCATAGTATTTTATGGTCTGTCCCTTCTTGCTGAAAAATTATCCCTTTCCTTTTAAAAGGGAGGTTCCTGAAGGTTGTGCTCCTGAGACTACAGGTTGCAGGGGGAGGGTCCCAAAGAATGAATTGGTGCTTATATAAAGTGTTGGATTCACAGCTCTGGAGGAACGTCCTTGTGCCACAGAACAGGTACAGTATGGGCAGCTTCAGTGCAAGCTTCCTGCCAGTATCCTTCACCTCTTGGCCAGAAGGCACCTCAAGGGAAAATCTCCCCCAATGGTTTATTTGATCCTTGGTTTTTGGAGGCTATCCCAACCAAGGGGGGGTAGTTATGAGATGAACATCTGCCCTCAAAAATTGGATTGAGCTTGATCTGAAGTTATAATCACTTTTGGTCTTAAGCTGTACATGAGCTCTAGGGTTGGTATTGCAAGAAGAGGGTTGAGGTACAGAGAAGGAAGCGTGCACTCTAAATACCTGTCCTCTGGATAAACTGGCCTTCGCTCTCAACTAGAGCTGTCAGCAGAGTTCCTCTCGCAAGTACTAAACTTGTTGGAGAATTCTCTGCTCCAGCATGTGATGTGTGAGGAGGAAAATATCTCTGTACTCTTTATCCTTCCAGCTGAAGACAAGAAAGGGGGCGGGCCAATTCGGCTGCGAGCAACTGGGCGCAAAGACTCCATCTCGGATGATGAGATGGTGCTGAGGGAACGCAGCTACGACTACAAATTCCGGTACTGTGGCCACTGTAACACCACCACAGACATCAAGGAGGCCAACTTCTTTGGCAGGTATGTTGACCTTGCATGGTAAAGGTGGAGGATTTCAGTTGCACGGAACAGCAGTGTGCTGCTGTCCAGTGGCTATGTCACAATGTGCAGCCCTAGCATGGGTGGCAATGAGAAGATATTGTTGCTTCTGGTCTGTGGGGATTTTTGACCACTGCAGGAACAGCTGACGTGGCATTCCTCCATGGATCGCTGGTTAAATGGTAGGTCAGCATACAGATGACTGTTCATCACAACCTTTCAGTACTCCAGAACTTCGTCCCCAACCATATGAGTTCTGAGGACAGAGGGAAATGACACAGAAGACTACCTTTGTTGCCATCTAGAAATGCCCCTTTCCTTTGGGCGCTGGGACAATGCTATCTGAATCTGGAGGTCTGTCTGGTTTTGTGCGATTTCTCTGCTTGGTCTAGTGCTGAGAGAGATGCTGATGAACGTTTAAGTGCGTGGTGAAACCCTAATGCTGGATCTTGTCACTAGCTGATTCCCTGAGCTAGTCTTGTTTGTAGGTGGGAATAAGGCTAACCAGGCAGTGGCTTCCCTACCTCTCAGCCTAATGGACTTACCTGCCCTCACCTTCATCCTTCAAACCCATTAGAATAGCCACCTCTTCAATGAGTGTGCAGTCTAGTAGAGTACAGAGCCCTCCTCCACCCTCTCCTTCAAGGTAGGACAGCTGGCTTCTCTAACTACCCTGTGATCTCAGCAGAGCACTTTGTTCTTCCTTTCCTAGCAATGCACAGTACATAGTCAGCGGCTCAGACGACGGGTCTTTCTTCATCTGGGAGAAAGAAACTACCAACCTGGTGCGGGTGCTGCAGGGGGATGAGTCTATTGTGAACTGTCTCCAGCCCCACCCGAGTTACTGCTTCCTGGCCACCAGCGGCATTGATCCAGTTGTACGGCTCTGGAATCCGAGGCCAGAGGTAAGAGCAGTAACAGAGCATCTCTAAAGAGGTAGGTCCTGGATGATGGGCTTTAGGACTCCAGGCCAGAAACCATTGTCCTCATGCAAGCAGACGATGAAGACTGATTACAGGGTGCTGGAATAGTTGGGTGGATTCAGAGTGAGATTTCTGGGTTTTGTTCCTGGCTTTGCCATTGGCTCACTCTGTGCCTGCCTCACTGTTCCAGTTTGCAGAAGGATGGATGACACTGGCAGCTGTCAGTATTACTCTGAGAGTAAATGTCTGTAGCTGAGTAGTGAAAAGATGCCCAGGTAGAACAAACTTTCAACTTCTTGCCAAAGCACCTGTTTTCAAATGTCATCCTGTGAGCTCCAGGTTAGGCTGTGGATGACCTCTTCTGAGCCAGGCCAGGTATGGCTAATCACGCAAGAGGCTGGGGAGTTGGGGAAGGCCTGGTATTGGAGGGAGGCTTGGAACGGAGGGACGATGTCTTTGCTCATAAGTGAGGCTGAGGTCTAACTAGAACCAGGCATAGCATAATACAGGCTCTGCTCTCCAAGGGTTCCTGCCTCCTTTTTGCCAGACTTTGCCAGTGCACCTCTCCTGACGTGGGACAAGTCTTGCTTTTTCAGCACTCGTGGGATGGCTTTATTTTTTTAAACTAAGACTCCTTTCTTAATGCTTCCAAAAGAAGGGTGAAGTCAGGGGATTTCCCAGGAGGGGAGGGGGCACTTGCAGCATTCCCTCTAATTTTTCCCAGCCGTGTGTAGAATGAATGTTATGTGCACCAATATGGAGGTGATGTGTCACACATCACCTCCATATTGGTGCACATAACAAAATTCATGTGGCAGGGGTGTGGATGAGGGGATTGGAGTATGGGAGGAGCACCGCTCCCCTGGCCACGGCAGGGCTGGAGCTGGGTTGGGGTGCCTCTCCCCCAGCCACAGCTTGAGCGGCACTTAATAGGTGGCTGCGCGGCCGCGCAGCTTAGAGGGAACTTTGTCACAATGGGCACCTCAGCCTTTGCTTTTCTCCTCTTTCTCACCCCTTCTCAAATAAAAAAAACCCACTGCAGCTCTGTGGTGCACAGCTGCGTGGTGCATCTTGCCTGAACTGTGAGTCTCAGATGCCCCAGCTTGCATAGCCAATTGGAGGGCCAGCAGGCAGTGCGGTAGAACTACGTTCAGGCAGCTGGGCAAAGAATTATTTTCAAGATGGCCAGCGGCTTGGTCATTAAGCCACTGTATCCAACCCTTGCTGAAATCCTAGTTCAATACAATCTTCCCCCCAGCACGGGCCTACAGACTAGAGGATGCCTACTAGCATCGTGCTGTGGGCTTGTAATGTGAACATACACCCGTTAGGGAGTGGGCCAGCCCGTGAGTCTGTGGTGCCGTAGGACATGACTTTCACCCAATTTTCAGTCCAGAAAACCTGAGCTTAAGGGAGCGGTAGAGATGATGCGTCCCTCTCTGGTGAGCAACAAAATCACCGTTCTAGTGCCACCTCGTGCGACTGCCCTCCCAAAGCGGTCTCCTTTCTTGTTTGCAGAGTGAAACCCTCAATGGGCGTGTGGTGGAAGACATGGAAGGCGCTTCCCAAGCTAACCAGAGACGAATGAACGCAGACCCCCTGGAGGTGATGTTGCTGAACATGGGCTACCGTATCACAGGACTGACCAGTGGGGGGGCTGGAGGCTCGGATGATGAAGACAGCTCAGAGGGGCAGGTCCAGTGCCGGCCCAGCTAAAGCAAAACGGCTTGTCCTTCCTGTAATTGTTGTGTTGAAGGGGAACCTGGTTTCCTTGGTTCTAAACTTTCTGACTGCACTGTTTCACACTATGCACAGAGTAGGACAAGCTGGCAGGGGCAGGAGCGGCCTTCTCATTAGACCACCGCCACCACCTCTCCTCCTCCTCCTCGTCACACTACTGAGCAGCATGGCAATGCAGTCTGGGTTTTGCCTTTAGTGGAATTTAGTCCCTGCTGGGATTTTGAGTTGTCTGTGAGCAGTATAAACTGGTGACCTCCTCCAGCGTGAGCGGGAAGAAGGGGCATTGGCTACATTCATGCGTTTGCAGAGGATTCTTAACGTCCCAAATAAAATGTAAATCTAGGGCAGGGATTATGGAATGACTTTACTGCAGCGATATTGGTCTCTGAAGCTTGGCTTAGCTGCTCTACTGCTGGCCCTGGTCTGGGACTGTTGGTCATAATGGAATATCTCTTTGGCCCATTGAACATCTCACTAGCATTCATCTGGTCTCCATCTCTTACCGTATGGCCCTTGAAAGGGGCTGTTTGTGTTTAAAAATGGGTGGTGGTCAATCCTTGTCTCTGAGCATCTACCTTAGTTGATGAGTAAAAGGAGACATTGAGTACATGCAATTGGAGGGGAACTGCCTTCCCAGCTTTAATATCCATTATTTTCCTCTGTAGCTTGTGAACCTGTAGAGTCAAGATGCAGTAATGGGAGGAGACTTGGCCTGGGGTATGAGGCTTGGATGACTAATGTGGGCAGAGCTACCAAGGAAAGTGGCTAATAATAACACTCTTCCAAAGCTTCCATCTCCTTCACCCAAAATACTTTTTAGATCTATTTACCTTCTCCTTTCCTAGCACCCATGCCTGAGTGTTGGGAATGCTACTGCCATGCACTATTGCATCTGGAGTTTGAGCTTCTAGAAGGTGAAATTTTAGTGCAGTCAGCTACTCAGAATCTCCACTCCTGGCCTCAGCTGAGGCGATATCTCACTGCATCATCACCGTGGTGACCTCCCTCTTGTGCAACGAGTAGAGGAGGGTACTGTGGGTTAGTGATCCTCTCAGGAGCAGTCCTTGCTTTTCCCGCTTTTCCCTTGCTAACTCTCCGCAAAGCCAGGACTGGTGCTTCATATCTTTAGAACATAGCACTGTATGTCCACTCTTTTCCCAGGTAATTTTCAGCCCTGTGTCCCCTCTTGCATTTGCCAAATCATAAATATCCAATTGATCTTGCACGACTGTGCTACAGCCCAAGTAGAACTGTGTTTTTTATGACTATCAACTAAAACCAAAGAGCCCCTGGAGATCTTACTGCTTTCTTGCACTCTTTTACCTTTTGCTGCTGAGGATCTAAATATGCTAACATTGGTCCCAGGAGTGTGGGGGTTGTGTGTATGGGCATGCTGCATTAGGGCTGTTTTCCCCACATGGTGGAATCCCTGGTCTTCCTGTACCTGTTGTGGAAGGGTGAGTGGCCCATCCTTCCTTCTCTGGCGGCTGTGCGCTGCCACACATTGAAGGGAGGATTGGCTGGGTGTTGGCTGATCAGTGTGACTGGCTTCCCTCCCACCACCACAGCCCACTCTACCTCCTGTACAACAAGGGTGAGCCAAGTATGATCTAAAGAGGTCTGTGGTGTGTCCCAGGGCCTGCTCCCTTTGTAGTCCAGGATCTATACTGCAGTGTTCAGCAGACCCCCAGCAAGCAATGCTCAACCTTCCACCTAGTGCAATCCAGGTGGAGCTAGCTGGGACCATCTGGTCTCTGCCGGCTGCGCCAATGTCTGCTCCAGCTTACCCAGGTGAGGCTCAGCCCTGATGTCTCTGGGTCACGTGGAGATGCACCTGTGAAGATTGAGTGCTCCTGTGCTCTCAGAGCCTCAGGGGACTAGGACAGGTGGTCTTCATAGTCCAAGCAAATGTAACCTCAGCTCTTCTTCCATCCAGACAAGACTTTCCTGGGACAGGCCGTCTCTTGGTGGGGGAGGGTGCTTATGCCTTTCCCATTCTTGCCAGGTTAACCTTTTAATATACCGCCAATGTGGTACATGCGCCTCTTCACAGAGTTGTGCCCATTTAGTTGTGTACAGGCTACTCCCCGCAGCAGTATGCCAGAATTCCCAGGTCCTCAGTGTTGTTTACTATCCATTGGCAGCAGAAAACGGCTCACTTGTTTGGGGTGTGTTTTTTTTTTTTTTTTTTAAAGTGGCCTGGAGTTTTTTGCCTAAGGTTTTCCAATAGACACCTCTTTCTTTCTCCTCCTTCTCCTTAAACTTTGCAAGCTTTTCCTGGAATATCTTTTTTTAACTCTCAAATCTACTGAGCCTAGAGCCTCTGAAAAAAACAGAACCACAAGCTCTCCTGGGGTTTCTCTTTCCCTTCAGCTTATGCCAGGGCAGCTGTTTTTCTGAGCGCCAGTGTAGCTCTCCTACCTGCCAGCTGCAGTGTGAAAGCTACAAGACTTCCTGCCTCTGCAGTGGATAGCTTTTTTGTTTGTTTGTTTGTTTTTTATGGCTGCTTTTGATTAAAAAGAAGGAAATAAGTGGGGTTGAAGAGAGGAGTCCCTCTGGTCCCACCCCCTCATTTTGGACAGATTCTGTCTGCTTTACCGCTTGTTAATGAGAAATTCCATATTTATTGGTGAAGGAAAAACATACGGGGGAAGAGATGTTGCTTTATTTACCTCTGCTGTTTTCTTCTACCCTTTCCCTTGAAAAGAAGCCCCTCCATTTTTTGGTTAACTCTTTCTAACCGAGGATAGGCAGAGATTACTCCTTTATTTTTGTATTTTAGCAGTGGGGAATCTCCATAGAGCCTCTGAGATTCCTTTGGATGTTGCAAAGACAACTACTCATAGCTTTTTAAATATTAAAGAGGACAGTCTCCCAACCTGTGCCCCTGCAGCTGTAGAGATAACACACAAGCCTTACTGTCCTCATTAACAGGAGCAGAATATTTCTGTTTCTCTGGTCCCTGGAAGAGAAAGGGTTAAGCAATTAAACAGTTTTGTTCTAGTTCTCTTTGGTGTCATTTGTTCAGGGGATTGTGCTGTTGTGCTGCCCCTGTCTCTTCTTCCCCCCTCCTCCCCTCCCCCCCACTATTGACTGTGCTTGGCTGGGCGGGGGAAAGAAGCAGATGGATGACTGGAGGGATGACTATTAATTATACTTCTTAGGGTGCGCAGGTTTCTGCAAACTCAGTGCAGTGTGTGTGTGTGGGGGGGTGTCTATAAAAGAAGCTCTTCTAAGATGACCTCCTGGTAGTGACTATTTTCATAATCCTCCATAGATGTAGTACTGACTTTGATTTGATCCAGTAGTGGGGGAAGGGCTGTTGCTCTCATGCAGAGTGGGGGATGCATCTGACCTTGGGAACAGAAACCTCCTGCCTACACTTATCTCCAGAAGTTCTGTCAAAAATATCTTGGCTGGGGTTTGGACTAGATGGGCTGCCCAGGGCATTTAGTGGAGGAGACAAAGTGGCCTGCCAGTGCGAGTGCCTTGTGTAAGGATGTGTGATTAGTTGAGTTGTCTCTTTAGAAGAGAGATCTCCAGGGAAAGGGGAGCTCACATGCTCCATGGCCACTGGGCCTTGTGCATAAGTCAAGGATGGGAGGGAGGGCCCTACTGTCAGGCCACAGAAAGAAGACTGTGGAGGAACTGAGCTGTTACTTCCACCTGGGGAGGAAATGGAACTCTTCCTATTAGTAAAATAGCCCCTCTAAAGCATGGAACTCTTCTTAAATGGCTGCCTGTGTCTGAAGGAGAAAACACTGCACAGCACAACTGATCCAGGTGTTATGGGTCACCTGCCTGACTCCTTCCACTGCACCTGAGCTGCCTTTTGCTTTCTGGCAAGGGAAACACCCTGTAAAAGCACATTTGCCACCTTGAGAAATATTTGTACCTAGTGCATTAATGCTGGTACAGTGCCAGAAATGTGCCCTCTCCAGAGAACATTGCAAAGTTGTTTCCCTCAGAAGGCGTGCGAGACATTCTCCTACCCCCTCGTCTGCTGTGGAAGCACTGGGCCCTAAATAATGGAGTTGGCCCTATTACCAAAAGGGAGAAACAACAGTGTGTTCCAGCTGACTCAGTAGAGTCCATTAAAACTCTCTCAGGGGAGCTCACCTAGTTAAACCTGCTGCTCTCAGCACTGCCTTGCAGCCACCAGCTCAGTGCAGTGTGGCTGAGAGTGACAATGCCAGCTGAGCTTTGTGAACTGCCCTGGGCAGAGGCCTTGCCACCTTAAGGGCCCACTATTCTCATGCTGAATCCCCCTGCTTATGTTGTGAGCAATCTGAAATGTCGTCCTCGTAATATCCACCTCTGCTGTGCCAAAGCCCTGACAGCTCATTTGCTTTCCGAGTGGCAGCAACAATCCTGTTTGTTATGGATGAAAACTTTCCTGCTGCCTTCCACCGCTTACCCAGCAACTGGATTATACAGGAAAGCCACTTCGTCTCCTCCTTACTAGTACGGTAGCAATCCTGTCCTGCTTTCTTTCCTGGGGGAAAGTCCTAGGAATGCAGCATGTAGATAGTCTCCAGGGTTGGAGAGTGCCTTCCTTCACCAGCAGACTTCTGAATCACTGACTAATGTGAGGGGTGTCTTCCTATGTACGTCTTGGTTTACAGGCTATAAATGTTCCTGTGTGGCTTAATAATTCAAACCATTTTGATGTTGCTGAGGACAAGAAGAATCTGTCACAAGGCTTTTTCCTACCACTCTCCTACAGGAAAATATCTGACTGCTTATGTCAAACTGTGAGAGCAACTCTACAGCTTTCTGGGATGTGGTATCCATGACTTTCTACTAGAGTTATGGGTGTTCAGTTCTTTGCGGCATCCGGTGCTTGGGTTGATCAGTGACCTCAGCCCTGGTGTGAAATAGCTGTCCAACAACCTGACTTTCATTTTTTTCCTTTCACATCTTTTACCTGTTATTAAAAGATACAGCTCTTTTGTACTACTCTTAATTAGAAGTTCTTAGAGGGTCTAGTTTCCTAGCTGGCTTACCAGTTGAACCTATGAGAAACGTGCTGTTACTCAACCACCAGTCTCTACTCAATGTGAGGTTATTAAAATAACTTGAACCTCGAGCTCTGGCAACCTGCTACTAGACAAAAAAAATCCCTTCCCTTTATCTTCAGACTAGCACTGCTCGTTCAATGCTGCTTTATTCCCAGCTGTATAAAAGGGTAGTTTGCAATGAGGAGGGAATCAAGTGTTTACTGACTCACCTGCCCAGGAACTACCCTGTGTGTTTCTGAATCAGTCACAAAGGTATATGCAGGCCTTGCTTTGTCTCTGCTATTAAGCCTCTTCTGGCAGAGTGTCTTCAGAGGTGAAAGTAACTCTGACAGAGGAGGCTTAATGGGCCTACAGTTGTTCCAGTTGATCACACCAGCAGATGTTCTCTATCAACTATCCCCTTATTAGTATGTTTTAATAATTGCATCAGCTCTTGGGGTGAATTTGTAGGCAAAGAGGTGGTGGTAAAGAGGGAAAGGGATGGTAGAGGTCAGACTAGTTGGATGAAATTAAGAAAACAGAAAGGTTAGGTTGTATAGCTCGAAATGCTGAAGAGGTATATTCAGGCCCCCTGTAAGCCCATGGAAGGGAAAAGTGATGAATAGCTCTTGGGCTGAATTCAGCCATGAACAAAAGTAACCCCCACACCACCACCCCCTGAGAAATGGTGATGCCTCATTGCTTGATTTACATTACAATCGAGTGGTTTAGCACCGTGGGGAACAAGCCTGCAGTGACACCCGGTCACTGCCTCTAAGATGTCTCTCTCATCTCTAACAGGAGGTGGGAAGAAGTCCTGGAAGCACACTACAAAGAAAGCTGCTTTCTGATGAGGGAAACATCTCTTCTGAAAATAGTGCTCCTACCCTAGTCCCCTCAGGAGTAGGACAGGCCTGGCTTACTGTCCTCACTGTCACATGAAATGAGGCTGCCTCTGGACCACACCGGCGCCAGCCGAGAATGGGGATGAAGAGCCCTTTTGTGGGCTCTTCAGTGTGTTTGTGTCTACTGAAAGCAGTGGTGGCTGTGAATGAGAGAGTTGCATGATCCTATATCTGGCTTCCTGGGATTGCTCCTCCATTATGGCTCCAAGGAAACACACAGCTCTTTTCACACACATGGATGGGTGAGCTGTGAGCACCAACTTCAGCGAGGGGAAAGTGCAGCTCTGAAATGGCACTGATCCAGAGAAGCCTCATTGTTAAAGGATGGCATGAGGGAGCAGTCTGGGGTTTTGATTTTTGCTGCATGGCCCTGCTTGATATCACCACAGCCAGAATGAAGAATCTGACATTTCTGTTCATGCTTAGAGGCTGTCAGATTGCAGAAGACACAGGCCCCCTAAAAAAAAAATCCACCCACTCTAGCTTTTCAAGGGGAAGGGAAGTATTTTTCAAGTGTCCTCTGTCATATTTTGCCTAATTGACATTCCAAACCATTTCCCCAGCCTCTTGCCCACGGCATCAGCTGCCCCGATGTGGCTGCTGCTCCATTTGTCAACGTCTCTGCCTTTTTTTTTTTGCTGAATGGTTTGTTTCTAGCAGCTCCTATAATGCTTCAGCTGTCACAACAGGCAAGGCTCAAGAGAAGGCTGCTTAATGAACAAGAGCTGGCTGCATGCCTGCTTCTTTCAAGCCTCTGGTATGAACATCTTAGCCAGTGCTTGAAAGGAAGTAAGCAAGAGATGCAATTGAATTCCTTGCAGCCGGGTCCTGTCTATTAAGAAATGCCACCTGCTTGGATGAATCCAATCTGATGCACTCCTGGGGCTCTTCCTTCCTAAAATGGATGGGCCTGATGTGTTCCTTTCTCTGAAAGGTCTTGGAGCCCCTGGTGAGCGATGGGCCTGCAATCAAGTGTGTAAAGATCACTTCCATTAGTAAGTTCTAGCCTAGGAGGCAGCAGAACACTTCCTAAGAACATGAGACCAGGGTCATTGGTGGTAAACCCACCTGCATAAGAACAAAGGTGGGAGGGGGAAAATGTAATAGGATATAGTGCTGCTATCACAGTGCTTCTTGTGTATGATTGCTGTTCTGTCCATAGGGTGATGCATGGAGCATGCTGGCAACTCTCTTGTGTCCCAATCTATTTTCCCCATCCTAATTTTATGCAAGGAAGAATTTCTTGCGGCTTCTTTTTCCAACCGCAACCACTTCAGCCTGCTGACCGTCCCTATCCTATGCAGATGTGGGGGAGAGGAATGACAACAATGAAAACTTGACCTATCTACCAATTGTCACTAGGCAAGACTTGATATCTCTGCAGCTGTCCCCTCCCTCCACTTCAAATGGATGGATTTCTACCTGGGGGGAGGAGGGGAGCCTTCCTGTAGAGTCTAAAAAGGAAATGTGAGCTGCTGGTGTAGGTTATTTCCTGTGCATCTAGAAAGGGGGGAGGGGAATTAAGGGGACTCTAGAGTAGAAACATGTATCTCTGGGTTATCAGTTCAAATACTGCCCCAGGACAATCAGGTTCCTACTGTTCTCTGACTGCTTGACCCACACCACTGCAAGTGAGGGCTGGTTGTTGGCATGCTCAGCAGGGAGCCAAGGGCCCAGACTATCTGAGGACCAAACTCCCTATTGCTAGAAGTGGTCCTGCCATTGTTCCCCATTCCCACTGAAGGCAGGACAAGAAGTGGGCTTAAGGTGCAGCAAGGGAGATTTAGGAAAAACGTTCTAACTCTAAGGATAGTTAAGTACTGGCATAGGCTTCCAAGGGGCATTGTAGAATCCCCATCACGGGAGGTTTTTAACAACAACTTGGATACCCTCCTGCTAGGGATGGTCTTGGTCCTGGCCTCAGCCCAGGGGGCTGGACTTGATGGCTTCTCAAAGTCCTTTCAGCCCTACGTTTGTGATTCTATGACACTGCAAGGGAAGTGTAGCCTGTTGATGCCACCGTGGCCGCTCCTGTTCTGTGCCTAAAGAGAGAGCCTGGCTGTCCGTACTGTGCAGCTGGCAACCTCTATCAACACTA